TTAGACATAGGAACCAAATCTTAGCTTTTGGTCAAATTTGATCTTGTGGCTCATAAATAAATGGATTAACATTAATTAATCTAACTGATTAGTTAATTAGGGTAGATTAGTCATTATGTTAAATTTAAGATGATCAGATTTGATATAATGTTAGCGTCATCTTCACATCATCAAGAAATCATCTCATCAGTTTTGATTCTTCTACCAGTATATTCGATGGATCAACATTCATTGTTCTTCAAATCACACTGATCGATTTTCTATCTCTAATATTATATTTTTTCAACCGAAAATCGATTTGAGTTGGACATTAATCGAACGATGCGAAATCATAACTTTTAAATTCATGATTTTTGGTGTTTTTCAAGTTCATGTTCTTCATTCTTCTACATCTGCAATTGATAATTTGAGTGATTGAGGTTTATGTTCATCTATCGACATTAGCAATTCATTACAAGATTGTGATCGATTTTAACTCTGTGATCATTGATTTTGGTATAGCTTCAAGTGTTCAACGATTTCTGCTAATCTTCATCTTCAATAATTGTTTACGATCTTTCAAGCTGTGATTTTTACTCAACATCATGAATTCATCAATTGATCAACGTTTGAGTTTTCATCGCTTTCATTGTTACTTGCATATAACATATTCAATTTTTAACCTAGTTCATGAATTGAACCATCAAGCTATTAGCGATTTCTCCAATTTATATATGTATGATTTGTGATTTCAGCAATCAAACATCATCTGTTGTTGAATTTGTTTGACCTAGAAAACAATTTAACCAATAATATGTTAGTTTGCAATACATCATCTATTTCATTATTTGATTTTTAACTTTCATTCAATCATTATGTTTTTCAGCAATATGGCATCTGTTTGCTTTCATTAACATCATCTATTTGCTTTTCATTAACATCATCTTGGTGATAAGTTCATGTTACTTCATATTATTCTTATAGTATATTGTACATACATTTATATATCAATAATGATAACATTTATGGATGATTTGGATATGCATGACATCGAAAACGATCATCTTGATGAAGAAAATCATCAGTTCGGTTCTAATGATTCCGGGATTCTTCATAACGAAGAAAATCAATCAAAAACCCAAGGTAATTTTGTTAATTTATACTTTATATCATGATTTGATCAATTGATCAAGGTTTGAGTTTTCATTGCTTTTACTGTTACTTGCATATAACATATTCAATTTTTAACCTAGTAACAATTATGGATGATTTAGATATGAATGACATCGGAAATAATCATTACGATGAAGAAAATCATCAATTCAGTTATGGTGATTCAGAGATTCTGCATAATGATGAAAATCAATCGGAAACCCAAGGTAATTATGTTACTGATAGCAGTTATTCTTATAGAATGATGTTGCTGAATAAGTTCATATTACTGCATATTATTCTTATAGAATAATACACATATAACGTTGTGGTGTTTTATGATTACAGTCATATGAATGCAAATTATTCTGATTATATGTTAACATGGTGGTATAATATTTTTTGTAGTTCAAAGTGACAATGTTGCAGCACAATATGGCTCTTGCAAACAATTCATTGGAGCTGATGGTTCTTTCTTTTGGATTCCAGAGGTTGAAGCTAGCTGGATACCTTCTATGGGTTCATTTTTTAAAGATATCAAACATGCTATTAAGTGGTATAAAGGATATGCATTAAGATCTGGTTTTGATATTAGAAAATCAACAGAGAGGAGAAAAAATGGAATCACAACTTCAAAATATTTTTTATGCAATAGAGGGGGATTGCCAAACACTTATACTCTAGACACGATTAGTGATGATCATAACAAGCAATTGGGAAATAGTAATTGCAAACACACAAATTGCAAAGCTTTTGTTGCATTCAAAGTTATACCAGATTCTTCAGAAGTTTATCTGTGGCGCTTTGAACAACAGCACAACCACAAATTGATCAATCAAGATTGTATGCATCTTTCACAAGCTAAGCGTTAGTTGGATATTGTTGATCAAGCTTTTATACACAAGTTTTTGAGTGCAAAGGTGGGGCAACTACAACATATAGGCTAATGTGCGTTATAAAAGGAGGATGTGAATTTGCTGGTGGATTAAAGATAGATTGGAATATTTTTACAAGGGATATAAATTGTCACATTGGGGGAATTGATGCAAATTTTTTGATTACAAAGCTTTAGAATTGTAAAGAGAATGTTACAAATTTTACATACGAATACAGATGTGACAAGAAGCAGTTAAATGCTCTCTTTTGGGCCGACGTCGCTTTCAAACTAAATTTTGAGTTATTTGGGGACGTTGTTTCGTTTGACGTAACATATCATACAAACAGATATTTATTCTAGAATTATAAACATTTTTTAGTTATATATTCTAATGGTCTTTTTTTTTGTGTTTTTTCAGGCATTGTATGATGTTTGTACCTTTTACTGACATTGATAATCACAAAAGATGTGTCACATTTGGAGCCGGTTTGCTGTGTAGAGAAGATACAAATTCATATATTTGGTTACTTCGGTTATTCTTGAAGTGTTTTGGAAAAGCACCAATCATGGTCGTGACTGATCAAGATCCAACAATGAAAAAAGATATTGAGATAGTATTACCACACACAAAACATAGATATTGTATGTAGCATATCACAAGTAAACTTCCATTGAAGGTAATAATTTTTTTCATTTTTTTTTGTATATTATGCTTTATTGTTTGTTATATATTCTAATTTGAATTTTCAATATAAATATAACATTATTGTTATATTTGAAGGGTTTTGAGCATTCTAACACTCCTATGGTGTACATGCAACCCTAGATGCTTTGGATCTATGTTTTCTCTATTATACATGCATACATTCAATATTCCAAAGCATCATCCTAACTAGCATACAATGAAGCATAAACAACATGAAATACAAGTTATATGACATACCTTTTAGTGTAGTTGGAATCCTTGAACCTTTAAGAGCTTAGCACCAATAGTATGAATGCCTCAAATGGAATCACAACACATCTAGGACAAAGGATAACTTGAGAGAGTATTCCTTTCACACAAAATCAGCACATAGTTCTCTAAGAATAGATGCACACGATTTTGGTCATGGAGCAACATATTAATATGTAGGATTCCAAGGGTCATGGGTTAACCCTAATCCATACCCATGGTTTATGATCCATGGTTCATGTGGCCCAACTCTTTATGTATCCATACATAAACTTAGTCCAACATGG